ATTGCAAACTTGAACTTCTCAGAGCTGCTGCTTGGGAAGAAAAGCCTAAAGATGCAACGACAAATCAAAAGCTGCCCTCCAGGGAACAGGACGATGCTAAACACAGCTGATCAGCAACAGCCGATGCCACAAGGCCATTATCTTGAAGCCAATTCCCTCCTCAAAGTCGAAGTTGAGATAGCTTGTCCGCTTAACGTTAAGAATGGCAGCTTTGAACCACAGTCTTGTGACGGTCCTCCGTTTGGGCGCATCGTCTATCTCTTTGATTACAACAACTTCTCTTTGATGACCAAGCTGAGGTCGGAAATCCTCCGAATCAACGCCTCAGCTTTCCATCTGGGCTCTCGCTCGCTGGAAACTGCACAGCAAGCCCTGTCGAATTACATGATGAATTTCAAGAACGACGAGAGCGAGGATCTGGATGTTGTTACGGGATTCCACGTGTCGGATCAGAGGGCGCAGATCTTTGTTCTCGAGGGGCTGAAACATAAAGCAGTGAAGAGACTCTGGGAGGCTGTTCCTATGAAGTAAGCACATGAACACTGTTTTGCCCCCGCTAACACGTTTCAGCTGTGCTGTCTGTTTTAGTCCAGTGTCTAGATTCCAGCGAGAATCCTGCAGCCTGTGTGTGATGTCTTGCAGGCTAAGTGGCAGTGAGGAGGATCAGGTGATAGTCCTCTACAACTCAAACCTGGGTTTCTTCAAGCGCATCTACGACTCTTTGGATGTGGGTCTGAGTCCTATCAGTCTGTGTAAGTCTCTAGAGAGCATCATGAGACAGCCCATGATCTACATTAGAGGAATGCTCCCCCAACCCTGCTTCCAAGCTCTGCTAAGGTTAGTGACGTTACCTTAAAGGGGACCTATCATGCAAAATGCACTTTTTGATGTCTTTTATACATCAACATGTGTCCCCGGTGTGTCGGGGAACTCACGCAGCGTCAGAACATAAAACCCTCTCTCTTTTCCTCCGTACCCAAATCTCTCAAAACGGGGCTACAACGGAGCTGATTCAGATTTGCGTCCGATATGAAGTAATATCTGAAATGTAGGCTGGCTTTACACCCACGGCCCTATCAGAAACTGCTTTCAGAAACAATGCCCGACTGTTTTGGACGTAATATGGTCGATGTTTACATTAGCATCGCTAACACTCAGAGCTAACCTGTACTGGAGAGCATGTGTGTGAAGAAGCAGGAAATAAAAAGGAACTCACCTTGTGGTATAACCGGCAAGAGAGAAAGCCTTTGAGCTCCATACTGTTTCAGAAACAATCCTTGATAATCCATGATATGGCGTTTCATCACGGCAGTATTTAGTTTAGACAGTAGCTGCCGGGTCCCGCATGATCTCAGCCCCCTCCTCCTTTTTTTTTTATCAATTTCTTTTAAAGCTTTATACCCCAAATCAGCACTTTAGAAACAGGAAGTGAAATAGAGGGATATGAGGCATGGCTAGAATGGGTGATCTGTTTGGTATTTTGAGCAAAACACTCCATAGACATGTTTTTTATATATTTTTATACATCTGAGACTATTGCCTAAAAATAGCATGATATGTGACCTTTAAAGTATCGTAACCTTTTTCACCTATTTTACTCTTTTTACGGCAAATCCTGAATAATATGTTAAAGCAAACACTGCTGTTGTGTTTAAAGCTGTATTATTCCATTGGGAAATATGGAAAAAGCTTTACAATACTGGCATATTATCATTATTTAAAGAGGCCATATTCTTCTCATTTTCAGGTTCATGTTAGTTAGTAGTGTCTCCATGCTTTAATTTTCAAAAAGCTCTTTATTGTTCTCATACTGCCTGTGCTGCAGCACCTCTTTTCACCCTCTGTCTGAAACCAGAGCCCAGTCTGCTCTGATTGGTTGGCTGGCCGGCTCTGTTGTGATTGGTCAACCGCTTAGAGATGTCCCGCCCCTTAGCCTATCATGTAAAATGTGTGTTGGAGCGCTAGTCAATAGAAGCGCAAGTGTTACATAGTGGTTGATAAAGTTTCATAAATTGACAAAATGAGTAATCTCTGAACATTTTGGGATATATGTATATATGTGTTTTTTATAATTTTGCCCAGATTAAGACAGCTCTGTGAAGTAAGGCAGCTGAAAGACGCGGTGCAGTGGAACCTCTTCCCCTCTGCAGACATGATTCTCGGCATGATAAAGGAATACGGCACATATCCGGAGTACTGGGAGCAGAAAGTTGAAACAAACCATGAGCTGGACATGACCTCTCTGCCTGTCATCCGCATCAAAAGATATGCACCGCTCAACACGTACAACAAAGAGTTCATGAGATGGAAACACGACAGACAACAGTCCAAGGACTTCATTCAGGTGCCTAAACTAAACTCAGTAGAATCTAACTTCCTAACAGAGCCACTCATATTATGTTACATCATTTTCCAGGACAATATTAAGAAGGTGCAGGTGGAGAGTGAGCGCTTGCAGAAGCAGGAGGCGGCTGTGATAAAGATGGATCAGTCTGCAGAAAGACCAACACACAACTACAGCATCCAGACCTACAACTCTACTGAGCTAGAGAAGGAGCTGCTGCGCAAAGAAATGGCTATGGTTTGATGAATGGAGTATAATGTAGATACAATACTGATTTATAGATACTGTACAAAGTGCATAGGTACAGTTTGGTGTCTTGGTTTCGTTGTTCTTTTTCCATTAAGGACTGCCTCGCTGCACATTATCCCGCTTATTACACCGCTACCTAATGAATAAACCAACGATTTGAATCACAGCATTGATTTACATTTGATCGTATTGCTTCTGCTAAGAAAAAAATAGTCCGTCCGACTCGATTTTGTGCTCTCAACAAATATAAAAACCAATATTAGAAAAGTATTCCACTGTGTTTTCTGACGGAGGAAAACTAATGTTTGTTGTTCACAGCTGACGTTAAATTGACAGGATTTCTTTCTGTGGATTAATATGAATGTACATATTCCCTTTATTAGAGTGTCCTGCTTAGCAATGGTCTGTTCTACCTAGCAACAGTCTGTTAGCAAAAAAGAGCTGACCCCAGAATTTTCTAAATTGACCAATCAGCATCGAATATTCAACCAAGCCGTGTAACAATGATGCTTTAAACTGCATCACCACACAATAATAATGCAACATGTACAAATATTAATAAGATCTTGTTTGCTATGAAGAGTCTCGTAGTATTTCCGTTTAGTGTTGTATTCCTATCCATTCAACAATTTGTCCTTTATGCTTTCCTTATTCAAAGTGTATATCATATAATGATTAATTCATGTATTGTGCTTCTCTGGTGATAACTCCAGGTGCCAGGGCGCAGGTTCACCTACAGTCAGCAGTACCAAAGTGCTACAGTAGAACAAGGAGACGTGACTCTGAAGAAAGACTCAAACTCCACCGCTGCCGCCCCACTTTGGCTCAAAAGTCTGAGCAGTGACAAGTCCACGAGACATCCTAAACACCCAGATGAGGCTCGAGTGGAGGAGCTGAGGAAGGTGATGCCACTTCATAGGAACAGGACTCTTCAGTTTACTGGCATCCCAATGTATCTGATCACAGGGATAATATTTTGATTGATACATACTGTACTTTCTTGATGATCCAATAGTAACCTTGCTAGTGTATTCAGTGTAGTATAGAGTTTAATTGATAATACTAATTGTTGGGAAAATACTGAATGTACTCTTCCAATATGAGAGTAACATGATAACAAAGGTATCCCAACTGTTGCTGTGAACATGACAGGATGTATGATTACCTAGAAGAGCATCAGGACTGTTTTAGGCATATGATAGCTATGTGATTAACATGATGATTCAGCCTCTATGGAGATAGACACATGACAAGCATGATCATTTCTGACGTGGAGCTAATCTGAAGTAAACATTGAATACTGCTTTCTATTCCTCCATCTTGTGACTGTGTAACTCCCTCTCTTGGATATCAGCATGTGAAGGACACTGTTCAGGAACTAGTTGATGCTCTGTATGTGATTACTACTTCCATTCTGGAGAGGATCAGAAATACATTAATCCTGAGATTAAAGCTCAAGCCGGTGACGAGTGATATTTTTCTAACACTACTGGTCCCTGTGCTTTCAGCCATGGAGGGAGAACATCCTTCATGCCGACCTATTAAAGCAGACACTTTCAAGGGACGTTTGGGGCTGGAGGCGGCGCTGTGAGGACTTCCATCTCCTCAGCAAACCTCCACCTGTGTTCAGCCCGACGTCCATTAACCTGGCAGGTAGGCTGTGCTGCATCAATGTACCACAACACACTTTTAGCTGCTTAAAGTGTTACAGTGGTTTAGTCTTGTACTGTATGATGGCTTGTTCTTCCCTTTCCTGTGAGTAACTGGCCAACTGTTAACCAGATGTCAAACTGAGATATTTCCATTGTAGCCATTAAAAGACATCGCCTGTAAATTCAGTGTCAGAATCAAAGCGAGGGTTCAGGAGGGAAAGAAGGAGAAACCCATCAAGGTGACACATATTGTAGAACACAAGGCTGTGGCCATGGCTTATCCTCCTGCTGAATGAACAGAACAATTATCCAAAGTTAAAAGTACAAGCTGGTCATCTTTTTCTTGGCTGGACAGGCCTCAATGTCGCATGTTGTGAATGAAAACTATCTACATATTTCTACACAATTTGAGGTAAAGTTTGTGGGCATACAGTGTTAGGAATTCTTAAACCCTGAGACTAGGATAAACTGAAAAGAGTCCAAGGAAGCTTATACAAGTTAACAGCATTTAATTAAACAAAATAATACGATGATATACAAATGAGACTGTTCAAGTTGGGCGGCTCCCCCCCTCAGGTCAGCTGATACCCGTTCGCGTGGGGTGCTGGGCGGAAGAGAGATCGATACTTGGCTTGCTTCTCCTGTTATCATCTGTGGTCTTCTCCTATTGGCCGGCGTCAACAGGGGCGTGTCCAATGCAAATCCTGTTGTTAATTTACACTATTCTAATGTATGTGGTTATTTAAACATTCCCTAATAAAAGTATTTCAGTGTCAATAAGTGAGGGTTAAAGACAGTGTTTTTAGTGTGCAACACTATGTGTCATTTAACCTTAAATTCACTGTTTCAAAACGTAATCAGGAGGCGTGTGGTGCAGTGGTTAGAGCGTTGGTGTTCGGATCAAGGAAGCACAGGTTCAAACCCCACTGCAGTCAGCATGTCGTTGTGTCCCAGGGCAAGACACTTCACCCCAAATTGCTCCTGTGGGGATTGTCCACAGTATTGAGTATGTAAGTCGCTTTGGATAAAAGCGTCTAACAAGTAACATGTAATGTAGTCTTTAGCCACATGCTAATGCTAACCTTAAATTGAAGCTAACAATATTTACTAGCAAAACCCGAAGTCGTTGTGTGAACTTCCGGTTTCAGAATAAAACAGTTTTAAATTAAAACAGTGTATTTAATTTAAATTACGCCATATACACATTGATTTTATTTCTTACAACAGCCAAAAGCACAACAGTTTGAACTTGATAGCATTAGCTTGCATCTTAGCGGTGGCTGGCAGCATAGCTCCACTTTACCCCAGGCTGTTGCTATGGTCACTCCCATGTGGTTATTACTCTCATAACACAAAAAGTGTGGTACTCCGGCTTTAAAGCAAGCCTTTACAGGATATTTGTTAATCTTAGCTAAATGAAATGACTTATTGATAGAGATTGAAAGGAAACAGAACCAGTGAATAACATATCCCAGCTGGTTGTCTGACAGAAATCAGTACGCCATTTATCAGAAACCACAATAAAGCATTCGAGAATAGTTTCAAACATTCAACATCTTTATTGTATTTTCAGAACTCGATGTCCCTCTCAGACCTCACTGTGTCAATTAACTGTTTTGTTATGGTCGTTTTTTTTAAAGATCCTTCCAGCATTCAAAATCCCAATGGATTGCATTTATTTTCAGATCAAAAGTAGTGAGTTATGGAGTTGATTTGTAGCAGAAAAGTTAATAGTTGTTTGATGAGTAAGTGTTTGATATAGGGGAGCTGAGAGGGATAGAGACTGATGGGATATCTTTAGTCTGGTTACATGTACCCTGTAACATATTATTTAGTGGGAATGCTGATACAGCATTCCAACTATATGTTATGCTACTGACAAAAAGTTTATTATTCCGTCCAATTCTTTTGTCCGTCTTCTCCTCCCACATTCAACATCGCAGAAACTCCGTTCAAACATCAAAACGTTCAGCTCGGTCGGGAATCGACTGCTATTACTTTTATCATTCATAACTTTCATAATTCCAGAGATACATCCCATAATTCATCACATTTTTAACATTTGAACTTTAACATTGCGCAGCTCGTTAAGTTAGAGTGCGTGATGTCACAGCTAGAGGGTAGGAAATCTTGAAATTTCCCTTCATATTTTTTTATAAAACTGCCATAATTCCCAAACCCTACATTCCTGAGACATAATTTTTCATGACAAACGTAGGAAAACATCTCGTAGCTTGAAAAATGACAAATAATTAAGCAAAAAAATAATTAAACAAAATGCCTCTTGAGGGCATGAAGTGACAAAAACGTTCAACATGTCTCCATTAAAGCCCATTGTAATTTCAGGAAGATATTTCCTCACAGCAGCAGCCGCACACCTTTAGTTAAACTGCCAAAAAGGCCACATTATTAACCCGAAAGTACACAAAAATTACACTTCAGATACTCAACTTCCTTGACATGCTTCACGTTTTGAAATTTCACAGATATCTGTTATCGTTCTTCCACAAAACGTTCACATGTAAGAGGTACATCTCTCATTCAGAACAATGAAGCCTTTGATCTTTTCATAGCTCGTTAGCTCAACTATAAACACCTGTGTAATGGAACGCGATGATGTCATCACTCCTACTGACAGCAGTCAGTTCTAACTGTTCATTTCATACTCACACACACTCTCTCTCTCTCTCTCTCTCTCTCTCTCTCTCTCTCTCTCTCTCTCTCTCTCTCTCTCTCTCTCTCTCTCTCTCTCTCTCTCTCTCTCTCTCTCTCTCTCCAAAAAAGCTGTTGCCATGGCAACGCATCCCTTGCAATAAAACACGATATTGCTAAACTTCTAAATAACAGTCCAGCCGTGAAGACATCTACGGGACAGTTTTGAGATTTCTTCAAATGCCGTTGCCATGGCGACAGACCACTCGCCATGAAGCACGATGTCGCTGTAAGTCCAATGGACACGGTCCGATCGTCCCCCAATCTTCACTTGTATATCACCGGTCCATGCCTCAACAGCTCTACGCCAAATCTGAGATCTCACCATATGCCGTTTCCATGGAAACGCATCCCTCGCCATAAAAGACGATGTCGCTATAACTCCTATGAAAATGTTCAAAAAGTGCTAAAACTTCACATGTGTGCTATCAGTCCAGCCGTGAAGACATTTACGGGACAGTTTTGAGATTTCTTCAAATGCCGTTGCCATGGCGACAGACCACTCACCATGAAGCACGATGTCGCTGTAAGTCCAATGGACACGGTCCGATCGTCCCCCAATCTTCACTTGTATATCACCGGTCCATGCCTCAACAGCTCTACGCCAAATCTGAGATCTCACCATATGCCGTTTCCATGGAAACGCATCCCTCGCCATAAAAGACGATGTCGCTATAACTCCTATGAAAATGTTCAAAAAGTGCTCAAACTTCGCTAACAGTCCAGCCGTGAAGACATCTACGGGACAGTTTTGAGATTTCTTCAAATGCCGTTGCCATGGCGACAGACCACTCCCCATGAAACACGATGTCGCTGTAAGTCCAATCGACACGGTCCATTCGTCCCCCAATCTTCACTTGTATATCACCGGTCCATGCCTCAACAGCTCTACGCCAAATCTGAGATCTCACCATATGCCGTTTCCATGGAAACGCATCCCTCGCCATAAAAGACGATGTCGCTATAACTCCTATGAAAATGTTCAAAAAGTGCTAAAACTTCACATGTGTGCTAACAGTCCAGCCGTGAAGACATCTACGGGACAGTTTTGAGATTTCTTCAAATGCCGTTGCCATGGCGACAGACCACTCCCCATGAAACACGATGTCGCTGTAAGTCCAATCGACACGGTCCAATCGTCCCCCAATCTTCACTTGTATATCACCGGTCCATGCCTCAACAGCTCTACGCCAAATCTGAGATCTCACCATATGCCGTTTCCATGGAAACGCATCCCTCGCCATAAAAGACGATGTCGCTATAACTCCTATGAAAATGTTCAAAAAGTGCTAAAACTTCACATGTGTGCTAACAGTCCAGCCGTGAAGACATCTACGGGACAGTTTTGAGATTTCTTCAAATGCCGTTGGCATGGCGACAGATCATTCACCATCAAGTTAGTTCAAAGGTTTGCAGTTCAAATATTCTGCTGCTTTTCCAAGCCTTTTTACTTTCTTTTCTTCTCTCATCACACATTCAAGCCCCCAGTGTTCATGTATCATTTCAATCTAAATTCTTCACTTTCTTCTTACACATTACTTTTCAGCATAAAGCATTCCCACTAGCAATTTATTCAGGAATTGCATTCTCTAGTTGGTTTAGTTATATGTGTTTCGCTCAGTTAAAGACTTCAATTAGGCAGTTTTCAGAGCTGGTGTCTCATGGATAAAGTGCTTTTGAAATTAATATTGTTACTGCTTGCTTTGTTTATCCTTGTTGGTAGTGACATGGACATGAGGACTACTACTACTACGACAAATACACTTTGTACATATTCTGATTTGACATACTGATGCTACTGTTTTCTTGGGAGAGGAACCCAAAACTCACAACTGTTTTTGCCTCCACTGTTTGGGTTTTAAATACTTTTTTAACCAACAACTGTGGAAATCATGGGGAAAAGATGATGGTTCTGAGTGACTGGAACTAGTATTTATCAACGCATTAAGGTCCACAGTCTATCCAAGTTTCGATTTTTTCCTACAACCGTGGGCTGTGAGCTTTTCTCAGTATTGAGATGTTTTGATTACAGCTCCAGATGGCTGCTGTTTGAGCCAATATCAATTTTTGCTGCTGAGTAACAAACTCCCACGCCGCACAGAAGAACAGATATCAGCAAGGAAATGAAATGTTAATGTTTAAACGTCCGAGAAATCATAACAATGTCTTCCTGATTTAATTAACCAGTTACCTAAGATAAGATAAGACAATAAGTACTTTATTGATTCCAATTTGGGAAATGTTTGCGTTGCATGCAACATAAAAATATGTGGCATTGTACAATAAAAATTAAAAGACTAGAAATACACACAAACACAAACATTCAAAAATGTCAACATCTCAATAGAAATAAAATAGCATTAAGAAAATATTAGAAAATATACATGTTGAATTACAAATGTACAGTAACAAATATAAAGCAGGATACTATAAGTATGTGAGGAATGGAATATTATATTAGATTGAATATAAATGTAAAATGTACAGTGTGAGAAGCTATGCCAGCCAGAGGTGATTTGTTACCAGAGATGGTCAAAGTACACACATCCTTTCCTCAAGTAGAAGTACAGATACTCGTGTTTAAAAATACTCTGGTAAAAGTAGAAGTACTGACTAAACTTCTTTACTCAAGTAAAAGTAAAGTGGGCTTTGAAATGTACTTCAGTAAAAAGTACCCATAACTAGCAGCTGTTTTAAAGAGTACCTAACCTCCCTTTATATTAATAGAACAATAATGTCATTGTTAGCTAATGAATGTTTCCATGCTGAACAACGGCAACATGACAACGTTTTCATTGGTCCCTCTTCTTTAGAGAAGACCAGGAAATGATGGATACACGGATCGTGTTCAAATCAATAGGCACGCAATGACTCTAAATAATAATGATCACGCCACCAAACACACATTCAAACTAAAGGAACCAGCCTGTTTGGAAAATGTGAGAAGTAGAAAGTTCAGGTATTTGGGTTCAACATGTAAGAAGTAGAAAGTACAGGTATTTGTGTTCAACATGTAAGAAGTAGAAAGTACAGGTATTTGGGTTCAACATGTAAGAAGTAGAAAGTACAGGTATTTGGGTTCAAAATGTAAGAAGTAGAAAGTACAGGTATTTGTGTTCAACATGTAAGAAGTAGAAAGTACAGGTATTTGTGTTCAAAATGAGAGAAGTAGAAAGTACAGGTATTTGTGTTCAAAATGTAAGAAGTAGAAAGTACAGGTATTTGTGTTCAAAATGTAAGAAGTAGAAAGTACAGGTATTTGTGTTCAACATGTAAGAAGTAGAAAGTACAGGTATTTGTGTTCAAAATGTAAGAAGTAGAAAGTACAGGTATTTGTGTTCAAAATGTAAGGAGTAAAAGTAAAAAGTCGTCAGAAAAATAAGTAGTGGAGTAAAGTAGCCTACTGATACCAGAAAAATGTATTTAAGTACAGTAACAAAGTATTTGTACTCCACTACTTCCCACCTCTGTTTGCTATATAGAGTTAAGATAATACATAAAGAGAAAAGTGTAAAATGGGCTGAGTTGTATTGCTCTGGATCCTCAGGAGAGCCTCTCCATCAGGAACAGCTGGAGGCGGCTCGGACTCAGTACTGTCGCTGGATGAAGAAACTGCTTCCTGAAGGCAGAAGTTACCCAGCATGCAACAGCCACATCCCAGAGTTCAAGTGTCTTATTGGAGGAAACTCAGAGAGGATTCAGGAAATACTGAAGGATGAGCCCAATAAGTATTCACTGAGGAAAGAAGGCATGGCGCTGAAGGTACAGTATTTTAGGTTGTTTCTATGACTTAGCTTCATGCCATTTAAAACAAGATATATCTTTAGGTGGAAAGACTGCTAGAAAATAAATGTGGGGAAAATCCAACATTGCCCAGAGAAGAGGAAAGAAAGACATAAGAATAATCTCATGTCTTCATCCAAAAGCAATTTAGACATTTAAATATAAAGAAAACCATTAAAGGTGGGGTAGGTAAGTTTGAGAAACCGGCTCGAGTGCGCTAGAATTTGAAAATACACAACCGGAGAAAATCTGCCACTTCCTTACAGAGCCCCTCCTCCAACACACACGAACACGCACATGACCAATGAGGGCACGAGATAAGTTTGTGCACAGATGGAAAGCTGACAGGCAGGTAGGCCATCCAGTTATTTTAGCCGGGCCGGCTAAAATGATTGGTCGTGCTTTTTACAGTGTTACAGCTTCCACAGATGAAATTTTTTAATGGATTTTTTGTCAAAGCATTTAATATATTCATTGCTATCAGGATGTTAAGAGCATTCCATGGAATATAACAAAAAGTGTATCTCGAGCCGGTTTCTCAAACTTACCTACCCTACCTTTAATATAGCTCTTAAAATATGGCTAATTTGAAGCCACTGTCACTATTGAAAGCTAAATAGCTGAATGAAATGTAATCACCTCACATAGAATGAAAGTCATACCACATTCACAGGTTCTGCTTTCATTTTTTCGAATACATTTTAGGCCAAAATAAGAACTTTGTTTATCCTGTAAGGCAGCACAGAACTCTATATTGTCTTGTGTACTCTGATCGCATTTCCATTAAGCCTATTTCTTGTTCTTTTTGCTCCGTTTTGGTCTCCTCCTCCTTCTCCTCCTCCTCTTCCTCCTAAGGTAAATGTCTGACTCTTTAGCTGCTAAACGCTCCTCTGGGTGTTTCTCAATCGCGAGTAAAGCTGCTTCAGAGCCACTATTTCAAGCATACTACGTCATCGAGTGCCGCCGAAGTACTGTTCCAATCTCCAGCATACTTGGAAATCTACCGAGCCCGGCGTACTCCGTTTGGAGAAATATCGAGTCTGCACATGAGTAGACTTCGCGGTCTTAAAATCCCCACAATGCTTTGCGCACGGACCAATTTCCCCAAATCTGTGGCGGAAGATGTAAGGCCTCTCATATGACGCACACCTGCACACTTGCTAGCGTGTTCCACACTTCGTTTTCCGAATGCCAGGAAGTATTCTTGACTCGCTTCTGAAGCAAGATGCTCGGCAGACATGTGCTACCAAGCAAGCGTACTCGCGATTGAGAAACACCCTCTGTGTTCCCCAGCTATCTGTGTCTGGCCGTTTCTCAATCGCGAGGATATTGGCTTCCAAGCCAATATTTCAAGGATGCTACGTCATCGAGTGCCGCCGAAGGACTGTTCCAATCTCCAGCATACTTGGAATTCCACCGAGGCCGCGTCCTTGGTTTGGGGGAAATTTCGAGGCTGCACATGGGTAGACTTCGCGTCCTTAAAATCCCCACAATGCTTTGCGCATGGACCAATTTCCCTAAATCTGTGGCGGAAGATGTAAGGCGGGGCCTCTCATATGACGCACACCTGCACACTTGCTAGCCTGTTCCACTCTTCGTTTTCCAAATGCCAGGAAGTATTCTTGCCTCGCTTCTGAAGCAAGATGCTCGGCTCGGCTGTGCTACCAAGCCAGCATCCTCGCGATTGAGAAACGGCTACTGTTTGCTGCTGAGCAGGAAGTGCACAGTGGGTTTTCAGAGACTATTCACTGGAAACAGCTGCTTGCCGCATTTTAAAGGGAAAACAATAAACCAAAACCAAAACAATAAAGTTAAAAGCAAGCATAACAATGAGCTGAAACTCACTTTGATGCTCTGTCGAGTCGAGAGAGCTGCACATTGAGGAGGTAGGTTAACAACTATGAGCAACCTGTCGCTTTGTTTCAGTCATTTGATAGAGTGGTGCCGTGATGACGTATTTTTGTAGGACGACCACGAAGTAAGCATTGCAAGGGCTCCCTCGACAAAAAACAATGGCGTTACCCCTTTGGATTTGAGTATATTGCAGAATAGAAATTCAGTCAGACAACTCACGTGTTTCTTTAACATGTTTATTAGAAGCAGCATATAGTTGAGTTTGGCGTCTAGGCTCGGGCCTCATCACTCCACAGATATACAAAGCACGATGAGTGATGATTAAATAACTAACCCCCCGAGCCTACAGGTGGAAGCTGGGGTGGTGGTGGGGCAGGCAAGCAGCAACGACGTGGAAGTAGCTGCAGCGATAGCAGCAGCAAGCGATGCATAGAGAGATCTGGCAGGTTCAATAGAGCGGCGTATTGAGGAGACTCTGTTTGGTTGGTTGTAGAGTGGCAAGGGGCGTTATGTATGAATGCAGCATAAGTGCTCGAGTTGACTGCCTGAACTAGCTCGCAGGCTTCGCCCCATTTATGTGGCTTGTTCAGCAGGATAATCTGGACCTATTAACCACTTTGTCATTTTTGAAGTGTAAATGCAAAAGCCAGAAGTAAAAAGCTAACTTTAGGCTGTAAACAAACTACATCACAGTAGCACAGCTGCGCATCACCACTGCTAAGCTAAAGGTGGACTTGAGTTGGCATGATGACGTTTAGTAGTTTATTATAGTAACTTTTTTTTAGCAACAACCCTTTTTATGACACATTTGTGACATTGAGTATTTACTTTTCATTTGATTTTGTAGAACAAAACGTGAACATTTCCTAGGCTTTTGTTCACCACTTAACTAAAAATATGTCACTGAGAGACGAAGGAACCAGAAGTTGTAAAATGCAGACACATTTCTGGGTTTTACGACTCATTCCTGCTCCTCTCTTTGTTATTATTATTATCTCTTATTGTTAAGATAGACATGCTATAGCTAATGTATTGTCTGTTGTCCATAATGCAGTTCAGTGTCCGTTAGCATGTTTTTATCTGGGTTCTAGTTACCGTTGACTTTAACAACCTCTAGTTTTTTTTGTTGCCAAAAGCTGTTTTTTGTCTTGCAGCCTTTCCCTGAACTCTCTGTGATGAACCTGGACGAGAGTAAAGATGAGAGGAAGAGGAGAGGGGCTCTGGCTCCAGGACCCTGTGTGGACTGCAGCCTCAGCAGCAAAGACAACGCCATTGAGAGACACACCTCTCTGTACCACAAGTACCACTACATGTCCGTTTAACTTAGTGTTTTTTATTCAAAAGAACAAAACAAGATAGCGAAATCATGAGAGGTTTAATGTGCATGTGGTATGTCCTGTTGCTTCTTACAGGGACTTCAAAAAGCAGCATTCATTTCTGTACAAGCGGACCGCCCTGCCTCTGACAGACAAGGAGAAGAGTATCTTCACTTTTCAGAAGTATGCACCCAACATGAAGACACAAACATCATCTGAGCAGCACTAAACTCCAAGAGCACTTTGAATAAAACTCATAATTCCATCTGAGGGGTTATCCTTGAAGCTATGGTTAATAAAATACAGTAACTACAATATAAATCGCTTAATTTATTAATGAAGTGCACCAAAAAAACTCATCCAAAGTCATAAGAATAGTATAGACAAATTGCTGTCGCAGAGAATTGAACTGGTCCATATGGTCCAATCAGAATGCAGGATTCCCAGTCACATGGTCAGGCTCAGAATGTTCTGTCCAGAGGGTGAGAACACACGTAGCCTCTGTTGTCCAACACCTCCTTGGCGATCTTTTTGATGTTGGCATCGTTGTTTTCAGGAGAGTCTGGAAATAATTAATACGACAATTATAAGATTACTTGAATTTGTTAAAATGGCTCTATTGTGCTTTTGTTTCCCTTTCCTGTAGTCTGTTATATAGGTTTTAGTGCATGTCAATGGTCTGCAAAGGCTAAAATCCCCCTTTGTGTACTTCTGTAACGCAATGCCATCAGAATGTAACAAGTTCAGCGTGATAGGCTAAGGGGCGGGACATCTCTAAGCAGTTGACCAATCCCAACAGAGCCGGCCAGCTAACCAATCAGAGCAGACTGGGCTCTGGTTTCAGACAGAGGGTGAAAAGAGGTGCTGCAGCACAGACAGTATGAGAACAATGAAAAGCTTTTTTAACATTAAAGCCTGGAGACATGTCCCAGTAGAGACACTACATACTGATATACACCTGAACATCAGCAGGAGAGGACTCTTTAAAGTAGAGACACTACATACTGATATACACCTGAACATCAGCAGGAGAGGACTCTTTAAAGTAGAGACACTACATACTGATATACACCTGAACATCAGCAGGAGAGGACTCTTTAAAGTAGAGACACTACATACTGATATACACCTGAACATCAGCAGGAGAGGACTCTTTAAAGTAGAGACACTACATACTGATATACACCTGAACATCAGCAGGAGAGGACTCTTTAAAGTAGAGACACTACACACTGATATACACCTGAACATCAGCAGGAGAGGACTCTTTAAAGTAGAGACACTACATACTGATATACACCTGAACATCAGCAGGAGAGGACTCTTTAAAGTAGAGACACTACATACTGATATACACCTGAACATCAGCAGGAGAGGACTCTTTAAAGTAGAGACACTACATACTGATATACACCTGAACATCAGCAGGAGAGGACTCTTTAAAGTAGAGACACTACATACTGATATACACCTGAACATCAGCAGGAGAGGACTCTTTAAAGTAGAGACACTACACACTGATATACACCTGAACATCAGCAGGAGAGGACTCTTTAAAGTAGAGACACTACATACTGATATACACCTGAACATCAGCAGGAGAGGACTCTTTAAAGTAGAGACACTACATACTGATATACACCTGAACATCAGCAGGAGAGGACTCTTTAAAGTAGAGACACTACATACTGATATACACCTGAACATCAGCAGGAGAGGACTCTTTAAAGTAGAGACACTACATACTGATATACACCTGAACATCAGCAGGAGAGGACTCTTTAAAGTAGATACACTACATACTGATATGAACCTAAAAAGAGCATTATATGTCCTCTGTAAATACCAAACACAAAGTTCTCCTCTCTCATGTCACCTGATAACTCTGGATTACATACAGGTCATTAAAAAACATGCACAGTGTGAGAATGAAAAGCAGCGAGGGGTTTTGGGTGTTGGTATGTGGGTTTTTTTCTGGGAAATTCCGCAACACATGCAAGTCTTTTGTACCGAGATGCAGTAAAAAAAAAAAGCCAAGGCTCTGTTCTCAATTACCATCTCGTGTTGTACTTACGCTTTTGCAATTGGGTCATCCAGTAATTGTTCTTGAAGAAAGTCTCAGTGCAGAAAGTGTTTGCGAGCAGCACCTAGAGAAAAAAAAAAAAAAACTTGTTTATCAAACTAGAAAATACACAATTATGATGTAGAACGCAATTTAAAAGCACTAGAAAGTTATCGAATGTGAAGAGAGACAGCTACAAACATTTGTTGTTTCAATTCCATCTGCAACACATCAAGTGGAAACATCATGCACACATTTAATCAATAACCCAAAGGTTTTACTTTACAAAAATATGTCAATTTAGGCTTCCTCCGGTTCTACAAATAATGCAAACAAGTCTAAATAGGTTACCGGGTAGAAATCAAACATCAGAGTGGACACACTGGATGAAAAGCTTCTTGATTGAAGACATATTCGCTTTTTTTAAATAACTTGAATTACTTTGCGAACCTCAGGCGAAACATTTCAGTCCTAAAGAAAAACAGTCACGACTGACTATCTTCTGACAGGATCTCTACAGTCTGTGTGTTTGACATAAAATACAAAAAGTGGACGGCTGCATGTTGCATTCTGTCAGAGGAGAGGAGGATACTTTTTTCTTTCTTAATGCTGTGAGCCATGTCCATGATCAACTCTCTGACTGCTTTTTGCACAATTTTGCACATATGTCTGGACAGCCCTCAACTTTGAAATATAATACGATGTAGTTTGCCATATATACTCATTTTCCTAAGTGTTTTTGTTTCTGTTTTTTAGCTGTTAAGGTTATTTGTATTGTTACATTTAAATTCTATTTTTTGGACAACGCCACTACATTAGTTGCAAGAATAGGTCAAGTTGTATAGAAGTCTATGAGAATTGAACCCCATTTTTCACTTGAATAATCAGCGCAGTATACATTTTCCTTACAAGTTTGTGGCCTCAATTGGTCATTTCAAGTCTTCCTAAATACAGCATGATGTTCTTTTTGGTAAAATATCAGTAAAACATTCGGTTTTGTCTTGTGATTTCAACCCTTTAACATCTTGCATTTAGAAAATGAAAGTTAATCGTTACACTTGGATGCCTAAAAAAAATTCTCAAACCAGTGTGTGACGTCAAGTTGAATACATCCACGTCTAATATAAAGTATATTCAGAGTACTGAAGCTGTTCATGTTACAGTGTGAGCCTAAATACCAATGGTTTAAGGCAGTCTTTCCCAAAGTTAGGTTCGCGACCCATTTTTATATTACCGCTAAATTGGCTTAGTGAAATGCATTAATTTCCCAGTTGTAATAACAGAAGAGCGTTTCTGTTCAGCTCAGATGACATGTGGAGCTGGTGGTGAGAGACGTAACATTACACACATTTAATTATTGCTTTGATGTGCTTTATTTAGGCTTCTCTCCACCACACTCCCCTCTCCGGCTTACTGCTTCTTATTTTCCAGTGACAGTTCATAAGTTCATCGTGAGCTGCTGAGGAGAAACATTACACTGTGATGGACTTTTATAATGTTTTAAAAACATGGTTTGCTGTTTTCTTGGTCAGTAGTTTTTAAATGTAGATGGTAAAGCTATTCCTCGTGTGTTTTTGGGTCCTGGAAGACACCAAATGTCTCTTTTGGGAAGTGTAGGAACCCCTGGTGTATTGGAGAGGCAGCTGTTACTGTCAGTTATTATTAGTGTAGCGGCCAAAATCATATAGAAATAAAACAGATAATTAGCTTAAAATAACAGTGAGGCACCAGTTAGCGAATCTTACGCAATGATCCAAATACAGACAAGAATCTCCGTTTGTACATTTTATTCCATCCAATATCATTTACAGGTTTCCTATATTTCTTTCCTTAAGCCTTTCCTATGGCCTTTGCCCAAACATGCCTTCACAAATAAAAGCATAGAAACTACTTTTACTCACTTCAATAATTAAGAATACATTTACTATGAACAATAACAGCAAGAAAATAAGTGTTTAAGTATTAAATAATATAAACAATTTGTGTTATTTTAGATATTCCATCACCAATCAGTCGATGGAGATGGAAAAATTGCTCTCACTATGACCTTAACCTCTTCCTCAACTCGTGTACATCCTGTGTGTGTGTGTGTGTGTGTGTGTGTGTGTGTGTGTGTGTGTGTGCGTGTGTTCTGTACACACCTCGTGGTCGTGGTTCCTGAGCCCGATGCTGATGGAGCGGCTGGTTCTGGACAGGACGGCTGTCATGGCGTAAAGGTGGATCAGAACGTCTGCCACTCTCTTCAGGATCAGCTGCTCGTTCACTAGGGTCTGAAAAAAAACAAGGACACTTAAAAAAAAAAACCCTAAAGGACAAATGCTGTTGCTTCTACTGCTGCCTTCGAAAAGGTCCATCTTTCTCAGTCATTTTCTTTATTAATGTCTTAAAGAGGACATATTATGCTCATTTCCAGGTTCATATTTAAACTTGAATGTTGAAAAAGCTCTTTATTTTTCTCACACTGCCTGTGCTGCAGCACCTCTTTTCACCCTCTGTCTGAAACCAGAGCCCAGTCTGCTCTGATTGGTTAGCTGGCTGGCTCTGTTGTGATTGGTCAACAGCTAAGAGATGTCCCGCCCCTTAGCCTATCACGTACGATGTGTTGGAGCGCTGGCCAATAGAAGTGCAAGTGTCACATAACTAGTTGATAACGTTTCGTAAATGAATGGGACTGAACCAGAACACGTACAATGTGTTGGAGGACTAGCCAATAGGAGCACGAGTGCTACATAGTGATGTCACTATGTTAAGGAAGTAAACAAAGGATTTCAGGCAAGAAGGGGTATTTAGGAGAGAAACTACCTCTGGGGGGAACACAGGGATTTTAGCCGTTGCAGACCATTTACATGCATCAAAACCTATAGAACAGGAAAGGGGGAAAAAGCAGAATATGGCCTTTTCTTAATAATGTTCTATTAATATGTGACATACACTCATGGTTGATCGTCAAGTTTGACTTTAGGCAATTTGATATTCAAGGTCTTATTCTTTATGACATGAGGACAGCAGTGTAATGAAAGCCTCGGAGGACTCTTCTCCTGTATTGAGACAGGAAGCAGGGACTTGGAAAGCTGACCTGTTTCCAAGAGCTTTATAGATGTGTGGGGAGGAAGTGAAGGGACGGGAGAGAGCAGCTGTGTGAACAACTCAGAAGCTCAACAGTTATCTACGCTCAAAAAACATCATACATTCAGCCACGAAAGGGGGGATTCTGTCCTGTTTCCTACAATGTACAAGTCAATGTTACCTTTCCATATCTGTACAGCAGACTCTCCACAGTGGATCCAAACAGGCTGACGTTCTGCTCCATCATCTTAGCGCTCTCCTGTAAAGAGAACACTCCTGAGTCTCAACAAATACACTCACAAACAAAGTGTATCTTTGAATAGTTCAGAGAGAGGTCTTACTGCCAGGCTGGGATGAACCACTCCATTGTTCCCCGTCAGCCCCAGATCCACCGAGCCCCCCATCGCACTCTTCAGCTTCCTGCACACCATCTCGAAAACCACGCCGATGTTTCCTTTCTTCATCTCCCTGAGAGGAGAAAGACCAGAGGTGGGAAGTAACTAAGTACATTTACTCAAGTACTGTACTTTACTTCAGTATTTCCAGTGTATGCTACCTTGTATTTCTACTCCACTACAGTTCAGGGGTATTTTTACTGTTCAGAGGTGTACTTTTCCTCCACTACATGTATTTAATCCCTTTAGTTACTTTACAGATGTGGATGAATGATGTGAAATATAATCAAGTGTTAAATCAGACTTTAGTTCCACCTGGAGTAAATTCACAAGCTACCCTGCAGTATACAAAGTCATTCAAACTAGCTGCACCTTTACCAGCTTTGAGAACACTTTCATGATCAATCATTATAAAACATATCATATATATTATTCTGAAATGGACCAATCTGCACAATGACTACTTTTACTGTCGCTACTTTAACTATATTTTGATGATAATACTTTTCTACTTTTACTTGAGGAACATTTTTGAATGCAGGACTTCTACTTCTACTTTTACTCAAGTACAAGACCTGAGTACTTCTACTTTTACTCAAGTACAAGATCTGAGTACTTCTACTTTAACTCAAGTACAAGACCTGAGTACTTCTACTTTTACTCACGTACAAGATCTCAGTACTTCTACTTTAACTCAAGTACAAGACCTGAGTACTTCTACTTTTACTCAAGTACAAGACCTGAGTACTTCTACTTTTACTCAAGTACAAGATCTGAGTACTTCTACTTTTACTCAAGTACAAGACCTGAGTACTTCTACTTTTACTCAAGTACAAGATCTGAGTACTTCTACTTTTACTCAAGTACAAGATCTGAGTACTTCTACTTTTACTCAAGTACAAGACCTGAGTACTTCTACTTTTTAAGTACAAGATCTGAGTACTTCTACTTTTACTCAAGTACAAGATCTGAGTACTTCTACTTTTACTCACGTACAAGATCTCAGTACTTCTACTTTAACTCAAGTACAAGACCTGAGTACTTCTACTTTTACTCAAGTACAAGACCTGAGTACTTCTACTTTTACTCAAGTACAAGATCTGAGTACTTCTACTTTTACTCAAGTACAAGACCTGAGTACTTCTACTTTTACTCAAGTACAAGATCTGAGTACTTCTACTTTTACTCAAGTACAAGATCTGAGTACTTCTACTTTTACTCAAGTACAAGACCTGAGTACTTCTACTTTTTAAGTACAAGATCTGAGTACTTCTACTTTTACTCAAGTACAAGACCTGAGTACTTCTACTTTTACTCAAGTACAAGATCTGAGTACTTCTACTTTTACTCAAGTACAAGACCTGAGTACTTCTACTTTTACTCAAGTACAAATCTGAGTACTTCTACTTTTACTCAAGTACAAATCTGAGTATTTCTACTTTTACTCAAGTACAAGACCCGAGTACTTCTACTTTTACTCAAGTACAAATCTGAGTACTTCTACTTTTACTCAAGTACAACATCTGGTACATCTCCCACCTCCGATAAAGACCCCAAATCAGGCTCTTTGTCGGCTGCTTTTAACAACGTGCAACGTACCCCGTGTGATTTGTTTTTTTTAAAGGCTAACAAAGATCAAGTTGTCCTCCAAAGCCAAATCCAAACCCTTAAACCTCTGTACTATCACCACTTCACAGGGTTCTGGGATTAAATCCGTGTCTTAATACAAATATCTAGCCCTTATTTAGCTAATAGCTCAATCGGTAGAACTTGAATCCCGGACCATTTGCCGCATGTCTCCCCGTTTCAACTCTTTCTCTGACATAAAGTCACTGGTTGCCCAAAGAAGTCATTAGAAAGAAAACAACAACACTTAAAAATCTACTTCTTAGCAGAGAAAGAGCTAAGTTGTTTCCTCAGCAGTTGGAGGAGACTACATATAGCTCTTAGGTGGCCATTAACACAACTCAAATGTGACGCTAATGTTAATTTGTATCTGTTGAATACTCACACCGTGATAACTTGTAAGTGAAGTGGCTAAACTAAAAAAAGAAATGTTTAATGTTGTTTAAAAGAATATGTATCTCACTCACTAAAATCACAATTCACATGTACTCATACGTCAAAGTATAATTAAGCAATAGCTCACGACAGGCCGTGGTATATGGCCATTATATCACAGTTAAGGGGCGTGGTTCGGCCCGACGCGAAGTTTGTTTTTCAGCCCAACTGTATACTGTTTATCTCAGACGCGGAGGGATACTGACTTACAATTCTACCCGTGGTATACGCTCAGTATACCACGGCTAAGAACCAATCAGATTGCTTGATTTGACTTGTCCGTTTTATAAATGAACATATATCCCAGTTTTTCTGTTAAATGGTCATTTTCTTACTTTATTTTCCCCGTGAGGATTTTGCCAGCGTACTGCATCCCAGTGAGAGCGATGTACATCCTCAGGATTTCATTGGTGCCCTGAAAACAAGCAACATCACTTAAAAAGTACACACTACCAATGTCACATCTATTGTACTGTATATCCAAGTGGCAATACACTCTGTATACACTAAAAGGTGGTGTTGTGGGGTGATAGGGCACCACACTACATTTAGCTTGTTGCTATGGTCATATTTTCCTAGAAATAAAAAAATGGAAGATATTTTTTTTGACTAATCATCATAGATTCTCATCTTTAATGGCACATAATGTGAATAACTGTGTTGAAATGTCTGTTAATAAGCTGGTCAAACACAGAAGACTAGTAGATCAAATGTGCCCCCTGGTGGATGTTTGAAATACAGAAAACAGTCTTGTCTTATTTCTTGTATAAGATAAGATAAGACCTTATTTATCCCGAAGGAAATTGTTGTGCCAGGGTTACAAAAATACAATAAACACAGCAGCATAATAATAATAATAAAACTGTACACTAACAGTGCAGTAAAAAGAGCAATTCAATATCTACAGGAAACATAGACGGTCACATAATTAATGTAAATATTAACCGTAGTGGCAGATACGTAATTGCACGTTATTGTATTTCAGTATTTATAAAACCACTGTACTTGTATACTGTCATTGTATGGTAATGGTGTCCTCAGTGGTTCCCACAGCTCTGATTGTAATGACTGAAACACTGTTCAAAGATTCACCTCAAAGATGGGCAGGATGCGGCAGTCTCTGAGGTAGCGCTCGTACGGATAATTCTTGGTGTATCCGAGACCCCCGAGGACCTGAAGAGCTTCGCTGGTGCAGATCCAGCCTCCCTCTGAGCTGAACACCTGAGCAGAGATAAGAGAGTCAGGACTCATTTAGTTTTGGGCGTAAAGCCACCCCACATTTTTAGTGATACCGTCATGACTGCAGCAAATCTGGATCAGCTACGTTGTTCCCCCGCTTTTAGAGATGGAGGAAAACAGAGAGGGTTGTATTTTCGGACACTTTATGAGTTCCCCGACACACCGGGGACACACATTTATGTATAAAAGACATCAAAAAGTGCATTTTGCATGATAGGAGACCTTTAAGTATCTGAATACTTCCTTCAGCACCCAGGTAGAGAACAAATATGGAAATGTTGATCGTAACAACTGAAATAATTGATGTCAGTAGTGCAAACTCTTTTAATTAAATGTAATTGTTCACTATCGGATTTTTTTGCAGAGATAATAAGGTGTGAAACGATTATGATAGCACTGTAAAAATGTCCGGGGACACATATTTATGTACAAAAGACATCAAAAAGAGCATTTTGCATAATCGGTGACCTTTAAATACTGACTAAGTGAAGTTCGAGCTCTCTCACCTTCACCATGGCCGCCTCCAGAGAACAGTCTGGAAGCCCGGGTCGGTCCATCATCCCAGCTGTGAGATACGCCATGCTCTCCATCACAAAGGCGTTCATAGCCATCAGGGCAAACTTCTCCTGCGGGGCGGAAAACACACCTTGCTCACAGAAACATGTCTTTACCTCATGTAGAATATGCACTTTCATCCAATGTATCGTCAAGCTACACTACTGTACTGAGTTTACTATGATCAGAATCAGGTGAGAGACGAGTGGACGGTACCTGAATCATCCCAAACTCAGCCAGGTTTTTGTTGAACTGCTTCCTGGTGGCAGCGTACTCAGAGGTCATTTCTACAGAGACAAACAGAGAGGACGATTAATGGTAGCTACAAAAACTCACACATTAAAGTAAAGTCTGTCAGGGTATGAAGGGGTTTTTACCGATCAGCTTTTTAATCATTCCTGCTGAGGAGCTTCCCATGCTGAACCTCCCAGAGTTCAGGATGTTCATGGCAACCTGTGCAACACACAGCAAAATGTGACTGTCTGAAAACAACACCGGCAATACAGTCATACACAACTCTGTTAAATAAAGCTCACCTTGAATCCACCTCCTACTTCTCCTATTACATTCTCCACCGGCACAGGGACGCTGTCATAGGACACTTCACAAGCTGAGAAATGGTTTCAAAAGACGTTACAAACAGGCTTACAGATGACATTTAGGACTAATAGCAGGATTACAGTGTTAGTAAAAACCTAAAAACAGCAGATAGTGTTTGTTGTAAAAGGATCAGATGTTTTCTCTTCTCTGTAAACTATACTGTTCTGTAGGATAATACTTTAAAGGTAGGGTAGGTAAGTTTGAGAAACCGGCTCGAGATACACTTTTTGTTATATTCCATGGAATGCTCTTAACATCCTGATAGCAATGAATATCTGAAGTGCTTTGACAAAAAATACATAAAAGAATATCATCTGTGGAAGCCGTGGTACTGTAAAAAGCACGACCAATCATCTGAGCCGGCCCGGCTAAAATAACTGGATGGCCTACCTGCCTGTCAGCCTTCCATCTGTGCACAAACTTATCTCGTGCCCTGATTGGTCATGTGCGCGTTCGTGTGTGTTTGGAGGAGGGGCTCTGTAAGGAAGTGGCAGATTTTCTCCGGTTGTGTATTTTCAAATTCTAGCGATCTCGAGCCGGTTTCTCCAAAATTACCTACCCCACCTTTAAGTGTGAATCTATGCTTCTACTGCCTGAATCTGCTTTATGGTTTCCACTTTCTTTGCTTCATTTGTTCTGTTTTTAATTCAGCAGGTGAACCTATATGTTCATAAAATAGTGTGTGAGATCTTAACTGTGTGTTAAACTAAAACGGAGCATTTTCTGTCAGCTCAGATTTTATTTCTGCTTTTTTAAACTAGTATGTGCTCATGTGTTTCAGTGTTGGTGTAGAGGCTGCTGCCTGGATATGCTTCATGAAAGGCAGCTTTTCCTATAGATTTGTTATCCTACATATTCTAAGGTCTTGTCTTATATAAAACACTTGGGTAAAAACATCGTATTGATATTTCTCTTCTCGTCTATCTATTTGCATGCATTGGATAGTGATGTAAGATGTCTTACTGTTGGAGCCCCTGATTCCCAGTTTGTCCTCAGGCTTCCCACTGGTCACCCCCCCGAAGGCCCTCTCCATGATGAAGGCAGTAATCTTATCTTTCTTCACGCCGTCTACTTCCACTTCGGTCCTGGCAAACACCGTCATAACGTCGGCCATGTCTCCGTTTGAAATCCAAATCTGTTCAAAAAGAAAACGAATGTTAAAGATAAAACTAATAATGCCAACTAACTAACAATTATTTGGAATTCTTTCTGTTGCAGCAACAAACAAAACAATAACTAGAAAATAGCTCAAAGCGGACATCCCTTCTCTTGACAACTGGTACGACAAAATTCATGAGATATAATGTTCTGGAAAGAATCACTTTCTCAACGAAGCTTCAGGAAAACACATTCGAGGAAACATGGAAAAAGAGAGAAATTACAAATCCCACAGACGACCATCTCTTGTTTGACTGTGCTTCTATACACCGCCTGAATGTATGTGTATGTATGTATGTCTGTATGTATGTATATATGTTGATGAATGTGTATAGGTATGTGTGTATGTATGCATATATGTATGTGTATATGTTGATGAATGTGTATAGGTATGTGTGTATGTATGCATATATAGGTGTATGTATATGTATGTGTATGTTTGTATATAAACAGAGGAGATTTGTCACATTTTTCATGGGCGCACCCCACATACTCAGCTCTGCTGCTCATCCCACAAATGCTTGTTCCTCACAAATGTGGTACCATTGGAAAGGTAAGAAAACAGGCTTTCCAACGGTATACGATGTATTTCCAAAAAGCATTGTTACAGGCAAGGCCAGGCAAGTTTATTTATATAGCACCTTTCAGCATACGTGCTTTACAAAATCAATTAAAAAGACATTTACGATTCCAACATAGAAATCATCTACCAAACACAAATTGCCTTACTTTTTGTGTTAAGTTTATATATGAATGTGTATGTGTGTGTATATATATATATATGTATGTGTGTGCGTGTTTAAGTAGATACATGTGTACATGTGTAGATATTTGTCATTTCAAAAACCACCCCTATGTACTTTTTAGTTTTTATTTTACCAATGTTATTGTGTATTTAATTTGCCATTTTCGGGTCTCTAAAGAGATATCATTCGCAAAACTGTACTTTTGATATAATGTGACCCCAAATAAAGAATACAAAAAACTAAAAACAACTAATAATGCCAGGGGGGGTTTATTTTTGGGAAATTGTGAAACAGATTGCCTCACCTTTGATCCACTGATCAGATAATGCGTCCCGTCCTCTGACAGCACGGCGCGGGTCTGAATGGAGGCGGCATCACTTCCACTGAAACCACCAACAAAGAAGAGATGAAAATAGACTTCTTGCACTATTTTTATTTGTATTTTTGTATTTTATTAAATATGTTGCATTGTTGGAAGAATTGTATTGCCATTTCTCCACTGTAGTTTTGTGCATATGACAATAACACCTTTGAACCATGAAGCGACTTAAACTGCTCATCTCTGATTGGTTGGACATCCTATAATATATGAAGCTCTGCTCTAACTGATGAGAAGTATTAAAACGTCAAACAATCGCACGTTTAAATATCTTACAACTTTGACTCAAAGCTGATTTAATGTGGCTTTGTTGAAACATCGATACGATACAACTTTATTGTTCAGATCGAGTCTGACATTTGTAACATTAATAAAGACAAATACTAAGACAAGAGACAAGGAAACAAACATTTATCGTCTAACAACTGAACAGAAATTGTTCAAGACTTCTAACGTATCATTTGACCTGGGATTTGTTCTAAAAGGATCTTAATTCATTACAAATTGAATCCAGAAGCCCTGAAACTGAAAAATGTCAGCTGATCCAATCCTTAAATGTAATCAAAATAGTCAAAATGAGAAAAATACATTTTGACAGGACATTTAGTTCTTATTTACTTTCTGATCTGTGAAGAAGTAAAGTAGTTATTTTCAGGCTCAAGTGTTGTTGTAGTACTCATGTTGGCCACCATGCCCTTAGATAAGATAAGAAGTACTTTATGGATCCCAACTTGGGAAATGTTTGCGTTGCAGCAGCATAAAAAGACAAGGCTTTGTATAATGGAAAAATGAAAAGACTAGAAATAAACAATCCAAAATGTAAACATCTCAAATAGAAATACAAAAGTAGAAAAAACATGTGGAAAATATTCATGTGGAATTCAAAATGTACAGTAACAAAATAAAAAAAGCAGGATATTATATATAAATGGGACCATTAAATCCAAATGAGATCCCAGCAGTTACCTCCCCGGCTCTGTGAGGCAGAACGCTGCGATGTGTTCTCCGGACGCCAGTTTGGGAAGATATTTCTGCTTCTGGGCTTCAGTCCCTGCGATCAGAATGCCCTGAAACACCAAGCAGCTGTTAGACCAGTGTTGAAGTACCAACTGTGTTCATTTAAGACCAACAGCTTCCCTCCACATTTTTAACACAACAGATGAACGTGAGTAAAGATTAGATTACTGTGCTGAGAAGAGTTTTCAGAGCAGAGAGATTCGTTTGTAACTCTGTAAAGGTGTGTATTTATTTAAAAAGGACCATGCATACAAATACATTCATCTCAATAGAGAAGAGATGTTTCATGCCAGACTTGAGCTAATCCATCTGCAGACTTTAGGCAGGTACATCAACAAACACTAAAAACATGGCATAATCTGTGACTAGGAATAGGTATCGAGGCGTGTGGCGCAGTGGGTAGGGCGTTGGTGTTCGGATCAGGGGAGCACAGGTTCAAACCCCACTGCAGTCAGCATGTCGTTGTGTCCCTGAGACACTTCACCCCAAAGTGCTCCTGTGGGGATTGTCCACAGTATTGAGTATGGAAGTCGCTTTGGATAAAAGCGTCTAACAAGTAACATGTCATGTAATGTAGTCTTTAGCCACATGCTAATGCTAACCTTAAATTGAAGCTAACAATATTTACTAGCAAAACCCGAAGTCGTTGTGTGAACTTCCGGTTTCAGAATAAAACAGTTTTAAATTAAAACAGTGTATTTAATTTAAATTACGCCATATACACATTGATTTTATTTCTTACAACAGCCAAAAGCACAACAGTTTGAACTTGATAGCATTAGCTTACATCTTAGCGGTGGCTAGCAGCATAGCTCCACTTTACCCCAGGCTGTTGCTATGTGATGTAATGTAATGTATCGAGAACCTGATTGGACGTTATCTAAATGTTGATAAGCTGCTGTACAAACGGTGAAAAACAGAGAAAGATGCTCATTATTTTAAAACAAAAACTGTTGATAAATCCCATTTGTTGTCCTTTGTTAATTTGGTTTTAAAATATATTTTCGGTGTTATTTATTATCATTTGCTTCTGAAAAGGACATTACATTACATTACATTTAGCTGACGCTTTTATCCAAAGCGACTTACAATAAGTGCATTCGACCAGGAAGATACAAACTTGAAGAAAACAGAATCATATAAGTACATCAGGTTTCATAGAGCCTAAACATTTCAAGTGCTACTCAACTAGCTTTAGATAAGCCAGTCCTTTATTAGTATATAAGTCCTTTGTTAGTATATAAGTGCTTTGTTAGTCATTTTATTGCTCGAAGTGGAGTCGAAAGAGATGAGTCTTCAGTCTGCACCGGAAGATGTGTAAGCTTTCTGCTGGCCTGATGTCAATGGAGAGCTCATTCCACCATTTTGGAGCCAGGATAGCAAACCCACGTGTTCTTGCTGATGGGAACTTGGGTCCCACATTGCTATACAGTTTTCTCAGTAACAATAAAAAGACTGTTGTTGAATCTTTTCACCCCTTCTCATGTGACGTTTTTAACAAATCATGTAGAGTACTGTCGATAAGCAGTTTGATAGATAACAGTATCTTACACCCTAAAGATCCCCGTCTCTATCCGTCTCGTTGTCTTTCTCTTGGACTTAAAATCACACTGTACATTTTACATTAATATATTCAGTTTAATATTTAATATTCTATCTCTCACATACTTATGTATATATAATAACTTGCCATGTGTTTGTATGCTGCTGCAAACATTTCCCAAATTGGGATCAATAAAGTACTTGTTATCTCATCTCATCTCTTGTCTGTGTGTTACCTTCAGTCCGATGGCCTGGTGAGCGGCCAGCGTCACGGCGATGGATCCGTCCAGAGACGTGATCTCTGCCAGCCGGGCGTACACCGTGTTGGTCAGCCCAAGACCCCCTGGGGTGAAAGAAACAAAGTACTTTTACTTAAAGATCTCCCATCATGCTGTTAGTAGGCATATATTATGGGTCTCAGATATATAAAAACATGTCTATGATGTGTTTTGCTCAAAATACCAAACAGATTATGCATTTTAGAAATCCCTCATATCCCTCTGTTTCAGCCCTGTTAGAGAAACGCTGATTCTGGGTCCGTAGCTATATATATAAAAAAAAAAAAGAGGTGGAGCTAATGCCTGCTCAGAATTCTACGAGATACTCAACTAAATGCTGTCATGATTAAATGCCATATCATGTTCCAAACCACATCAAGGATTATTTCTGAAACAGTATGGAGCTCAAATGCTTTTACTCTTGTTTGAGGGTATTTGGTTAGTGGTTTTTTTAAGCTTGTAAATATTTCTGTATGATAGATGAACTCTAGATATGTTAGTGAGATATATCTTAAATCATTTCTGTTTAGTGTCTGAGCCGCTATTCTTTAAGCTTTTTATCAAGGTGTCCCCTTTCACATATCTCCATTCTGCCTTGGTAACTTTTTGTGTATACATTGAGAGATATAACCCTTTTTAATAACTACAAACAGCTGTTGTCACAATCATCGTACCGTACTCCTCAGGAACCATCACTCCAAACAGCCCGAGCTCCTTCAGCCCGTTCAGAGTCTCTGCTGGGATCTTAGCATCTCGGTCGATCTTCGCTGAGTCGACTGAAATCACAATTAAAAAAAAAAGGTAATTCATCGTTGTTAGGAAAATCTCACTGGTCACCGGCTTGAGCTTCAATCTCAGGATCCATGTATTTGTGATCCTCTCCAGAATGGAAGTATTCATCACATACAGAGCATCAACTAGTTCCTGAACAGTGTCCTTCACATGCTGATATCCAAGAGACGGTGCGTCTACACAGCAGCGTTAAAAAAAAATCTTGAAACGCTTCTGCCCATTCACTTTGAATGGGGTGACGTCACTTTCCCTCACTTTTCGCCGAAATGCATTGTGGGCAGGCGAGCGGAGATTTTCAGGATTTTCAGGATTCAAAGTTGAACAATGTTCAACTTTTGAGGCTGAGGTGGAAGCGTCAGCCAATCAAATCCCGTGTACGCAAATCTGACAGTTCAAGCTCTAGCCAATCAAACGGCGTGTATGCTGGGAGAGACATACCGCAGGTCATTTCCTCATATTCCAAAAAATGGAGGAGAAATTAGCGGTAGCGAATCAATCACCCGGTGCTTTATGACCAGACCTACCGGGATATAAACCGGAGGAGCCAGGCATGGAGGGAGGTGGCAGAGACAGTGGTAGGTTTTCGCCTGTTTGGGGAGTTTATATCCAGTTTACTTCGGGCTTTTTGGCTTCGTATGTCGCGGGCGGGAGATTCATGTGATTGGTTGTTGGTGCCTTGCTCGCAAAAAATCCGATACGCCCACCTCCAAGAATTTTTATAACAACGTCAAAAAAATCTTGGAGGTGGGCGTATCTGAAGCTTGAGGATTTTTTGCGAGCAAGGCACCAACAACCAATCACATGAATCTCCCGCCCGCGACATACGAAGCAAAAAAGCCCGAAGTAAACTGGATATAAACTCCCCAAACAGGCGAAAACCTACCACTGTCTCTGCCACCTCCCTCCATGCCTGGATCCTCCGGTTTGTATCCCGGTAGGTAAATAGGGACTGGTCATAAAGCACCGGGTGATTGATTCGCTACCGCTAATTTCTCCTCCATTTTTTGGAATATGAGGAAATGACCTGCGGTATTTCTCTCCCAGCATACACGCCGTTTGATTGGCTAGAGCTTGAACGGTCAGATTTGCGTACACAGGATTTGATTGGCTGACGCTTCCACCTCAGCCTCAAAAGTTGAACATTGTTCAACTTTGAATCCTGAAAATCCTGAAAATCTCCGCTCGCCTGCCCACAATGCATTTCGGCGAAAAGTGAGGGAAAGTGACGTCACCCCATTCAAAGTGAATGGGCAGAAGCGTTTCAAGATTTTTTTAACGCTGCTGTGTGGACGCTCCGTTACACAGTCACAAGATGGAGGAATAGAAAGCAGTATTCAATGTTTACTTCAGATTAGCTCCACGTCAGAAATGATCATGCTTGTCATATGTCTATCTCCATAGAGGCTGAATCATCATGTTAATCACATAGCTATCATATGCCTCAAACAGTCCTGATGCTCTTCTAGGTAATCATACATCCTGTCATGTTCACAGCTACAGTTGGGGTACCTTTGTTATCATGTTACTCTGATACTGGAAGAGTACATTCAGTATTTTCCCAACAATCGTCAATAAATAAAAGAAAAACAACTTGCAGGATCATCACACATTGTTACACGCCTTTCAAATCAAATCAAATCTAGGTTTATTTATAAAGCACATTTAAAAGCGATTTTTGGTCGGGCCAAAGTGCTGTACATGTAATAACTACAATCACATAAAAACACATTTCTATAATCACAATAAAAGACAATAAATTACAACAGATATTTAAAAAGAAAACACAGGGAAAAGTCAGGAGTCGTGCTCCGCTCTGACTAAAAGGCCAGGGAGAAGAAGTGTGTCTTAAGAGTAGATTTAAAAACCCCTAGGGTCTGGGCCGACCTCACATGGAGGGGCAGAGTGTTCCAGAGCCTCGGGCCAGCTGCTGCGAAGGCTCGGTGCCCTCGGGTTTTGAGCCTGGTCTTGGGCACTATCAGCAGCAGCTGGTCAGCAGACCTTAAAGCTCTTGTTGGGGTGTAGCGCTGGAGGAGTTCAGCTATATAGGCCAGAGCCAGCCCATTTAATGCTTTAAAAACAAATGGATTTTAAAATCAATTCTGAACCGAATTGGAGGCCAGTGCAGTGAGGCCAGAATTGGGGTGATGTGGTCACGCTTTTTGTGGCCAGTGAGTAGACGTGCAGCTGCGTTCTGGACTAGCTGCAGGCGTTTAATTGACGCCTGGTCCATACCCACATACAGAGCGTTGCAGTAGTCCAACCTCGAGGTAACAAAGGCGTTAATAACCCTTTCCAGGTCCTCAAACGATAAAAACGACTTGGTCTTGGCCAATGGTCGTATTTAAAAAAAGCAGGTTTTGACTACGCTGCTGACCTGCTTATCGAATTTAAAAGCGCTATTGAAGGTCACTCCAAGGTTCGTGACAGAGGGGAGGATATTATTTTTGAGGGAGCCCAGAATATCAACCTGGGAGGCTAGAGGTTGGGGTCCAAAAAAGATAACCTCAGTCTTGCTCTCATTGAGGTTGAGGAAATGTTGGCTCAGCCAGGATTTGATCTCTGCTAAGCAGTCCATCAATAGCTGTAATGAGTTAACATTTGAATTGAGTGGCAGATAGATCTGTACATCGTCGGCGTAGCAGTGGAAGGGGATGTTATGTTTTGTGAGTATTGAACCTAGGGGCAGTATGTACAGTAGAAAAAGGATGGGGCCCAGAATCAAGCCTTGGGGAACCCCACAGGTAAGAGGGGCTTTAGCAGAGGAGAAGGCACCTAGCTGTACCGAGAAGCTACGGTCTGTCAGGTAGGACCTGAACCATGCAAGGGCAGAGCCTGTGATGCCAGCGGACTGCCTTTGATGAATACTCGATTCTGATTGAGTATTGATAAGCTGCTGTACAAACGGTGAAATACAGAGTAAGATGCACATTTCTTTTTAAACAAAAACTATTGAATGATGAATTGATCCAAAATCCCATTCGTTCTCCTTTGATAATTTAGTTTTAAAGTTATTTTCTGTGTTATTTTCTGTGTTATTTAGTACCGTTTGCTTCTGAAAAAGACCATAGCTAAACAGGGTTAGATCTCGCACCAGATGTAGAGCAGATATCAGATTATTTTGTTATCCATGGAGATCCTCTCTCACCTTCCTCGCTGAAGAACCTCTCCACCGGAGCAACGAGCTGGTTGATCTCCTCCACTTCCTCTAAAGAAACCTCAGGGTACGGAAAGACCTCGTCCTGGAGGGAAAACACAGTTAGAGAAACAACAAATATCCAGGTTCTCACGGAGAGAAACTACATATAAAAACTGTGTTAAGTTCTGCATTTCTGATCAGATGTCCCAGAAAGCTTTCCTGAGTTTACTCAGTGGTGTTAAGTAACTAAGAAAATGTACTCAAGTACTCTGCTTGTCCTTCAAACTAGCTGCACCTTTACCAGCTTTGAGAACACTTTCATGATCAATCATTATAAAACATATCATATATATTATTCTGAAATGGACCAATCTGCACAATGAATACTTTTACTGTCGCTACTTTCACTATATTTAGATGATAATACTTTTCTACTTTTACTTGAGGAACATTTTGAATGCAGGACTTTTACTGTCACAGAGTATTCCTACACTCTGGTACTTCTACTTTTACTCAAGAACAAGATCTGAGTACTTCTACTTTTACTCAAGAACAAGACCTGAGTACTTCTACTTTTACTCAAGTACAAGACCTGAGTACTTCTACTTTGCTCAAGAACAAGATCTGAGTACTTCTACTTTTACTCAAGTAAAACACATGAGTACTTCTCCCACATCTGGGAAGAAGTACAAAGCAGCAACAATGGGAAATACGCAAGTACAAGTACCTCACATGTGTTTTAAAGTGCAGTACTTGAGTAAATCAACTTAGTTACTTGACACCACTGCATTAAACCGACATGTATCTTCAACCCAGTATAACCCCCTCCTCTGACAGGTACTCTCACCTTGTTCACCTGACCCAGGAACAGATCTTTAGCATAAGCCAGGTTCCTGCTGTGGGTTCTGATGTTCCTCTGGAGAACCACATGTTTCCCAGCATGCTTCACAGTACACAGCAGCTGTCTGATCTGAGCTGATTTAGAGAGAATTAATCTGTTAACACTCATCATTTCTTCTGGAGTAAAACACTGCTTCTTGTATTCCACAGGAGTGTCATAAACAACCTCAGCCGGGCTACCTTTCACCCGATTCTGTCGCGTGATGATGACGTACACACACGGTATTGGATAATACTTCACAGACCGTCGGAAATAGTCAACTTCTGCATGTGTGTGCATGATATACTGGATTATTTTTTTATACAAAGGCTAGTTTAACATTTAAAATAATAATAGCAAATAGAAAAAAGGCAGTGAGCATAACGAAAACATATTTTGGTTGATTTTTAACTTGATAGAATATGGATTTTAATCGATTAACAATTTCCCTGCACAAAGTTGCCCTTCAAGTCGGTTGAAGGATAGGACTCATGGATGTTATAAATACAAACCGATGCCAAATTGAAAGTATTTTAGTATTTTTCAAACACGATCTGCATGTGAAGACTTCAAATTATATTTATCAACAGTTATAGTAGGCTATTTGTCTCTGCACCTACTGCTTGGAAAATTAAAGTACGTGTTTTCTCCGCACTGAAAGAAAATATTGCCATTTTTGACTGCGAAATTGCCCAAATTTAAGGCAATTGAGTCTAAAATGTTGCTTTTGCCAGCCTCTGAAATTCCCACCTATTTCCTTGCCTAGTTTGAATAATTCCGACAGCACCTGAACACATCATTACAACACTGCAGTAATGCGTGGCTGCCACTTGATGGCGCAATAGACTCACTTTTTATCAAGCGAATATATTAAATACTGTAATCAACATGGAATACGTTTCTCAAATGACACATACAGGGTAATATCAGGGTATTTATGGTGGTTTTTGTACATTTATTTATCAAGTAGGCATATGTACACCATTTCCTATAGGTATTACATTAGTCCTGTTGTTTGGTTGTCTAGCTTTGTTCGTCTTAACTGAGTAGCAGAGTCATATTTATGTGTACACAAAACAATAGTGATTTTTATGCTATTAACAAAATGAAAACGGAACAAGGCAGCACAGATAGTATGTAACACAGTGCAACAATAATAATTATAATAATAACAACAACAACCATAATAATAATAATCATAAATGCAATCATTTTATAAAAAGATAATCATAATAGATAAATACAAACATTTAAATAAATACAATAATTTATAAAATAATAATGAATAATAATCAAAATAATATGATTAATAATTATCATGATGTGATTGTAATAATCATAATAAAACCACTAATAATAATATTAATAATATTTTTCATTCATATAGCACTTGTCAAGCTTAACCACGAAGGGCTTTCCAGATTTAAAGATCTAATCCAAATATATATTTTTTAACCCAGTTTAGCTACATCACAATGAAACCCATTCTTAGCAGTGAGAGGAAATGAAGCCCCTCCCACCTGCATGATGACGTCCTGCTGACACGGAGGATGTGGCCTTCAATGCTGGATCTATTTTTAGCTCCAACCTCAAGGGCCGGACAGACAAACAGGGCAAATTGTCAGTCTGACCACCTGCCACTGACACACCGTCACACCGTCACACAGTCACACAATCACAGAGTCACACAGTTACAGAGTCACACAGTTACACAGTCACACAGTCACACAATCACACAGTCACACAGTTATATAGTCACACAGTTATATAGTCACACAGTCACACAGTCACACAGTTATATAGTCACACAGTCACACAGTCACACAGTTATATAGTCACACAGTTATATAGTCACACAGTCACACAGTCACACAGTCACACAGTCACACAGTCACACAGTTATATAGTCACACAGTCACACAGTCACACAGTCACACAGTTATATAGTCACACAGTCACACAGTCACACAGTCACACAGTCACACAGTCACACAGTTATATAGTCACACAGTCACACAGTCACACAGACACACAGTCACACAGTCACACAGTCACACAGTCACACAGTCACACAGTCATACAGTCACACAGTCACACAGTCACACAGTCACACAGTCACACAGTTATATAGTCACACAGTTATATAGTCACACAGTTATATAGTCACACAGTCACACAGTCACACAGTCACACAGTCACACAGTCACACAGTCACACAGTCACACAGTCACACAGTCACACAGTTATATAGTCACACAGTCACACAGTCACACAGACACACAGTCATACAGTCACACAGACACACAGTCAAACAGTCACACAGTCACACAGTCACACATTCACACAGTCACACAGTCACACAGTTATATAGTCACACAGTCACACAGTCACACAGTCACACAGTCACACAGTTATATAGTCACACAGTCACACAGTCACACAGTCAAACAGTCACACAGTCACACAGTCACACATTCACACAGTTACACAGTCAAACAGTCACACAGTCAAACAGTTATACAGTCACACAGTTACACAGTCACACATTCACACATTCACACAGTCACACAGTCACACAGTCACACAGTTATATAGTCACACAGTCACACAGTCACACATTCACACAGTTACACAGTCAAACAGTCACACAGTCAAACAGTTATACAGTCACACAGTTACACAGTCACACAATCACACAATCACACAGTCACACAATCATACAGTTACACAGTCAAACAGTCACACAGTCAAACAGTTATACAGTCACACAGTTACACAGTCACACAATCACACAATCACACAGTCACACAATCATACAGTTACATAGTCAAACAGTCACACAGTCAAACAGTTATACAGTTACACAGTCACACAATCACACAATCACACAGTCACACAATCACACAGTCACACAGTCACACAGTCACACAGTTACACAGTCACACAGTCACACAGTCACACAGTCACACATTCACACAGTCACACAATCACACAGTCACACAGTCAAACAGTCACACAGTCACACAGTCACACAGTCACACAGTTATATAGTCACACAGTCACACAGTCACACAGTCACACAGTCACACAGTTATATAGTCACACAGTCACACAGTCACACAGACACACAGTCACACAGTCACACAGTCACACAGTCACACAGTCACACAGTTATATAGTCACACAGACACACAGTCATACAGTCACACAGTCACACAGTCACACAGTCACACAGTCACACAGTTATATAGTCACACAGTTATATAGTCACACAGTTATATAGTCACACAGTCACACAGTCACACAGTCACACAGTTACACAGTCACACAGTTATATAGTCACACAGTCACACAGTCACACAGTCACACAGTCACACAGTCACACAGTCACACAGTTATATAGTCACACAGTCACACAGTCACACAGACACACAGTCATACAGTCACACAGACACACAGTCAAACAGTCACACAGTCACACAGTCACACAGTCACACAGTTATATAGTCACACAGTTATATAGTCACACAGTTATATAGTCACACAGTCACACAGTCACACAGTCACACAGTTACACAGTCACACAGTTATATAGTCACACAGTCACACAGTCACACAGTCACACAGTCACACAGTCACACAGTCACACAGTTATATAGTCACACAGTCACACAGTCACACAGACACACAGTCATACAGTCACACAGACACACAGTCAAACAGTCACACAGTCACACAGTCACACATTCACACAGTCACACAGTCACACAGTCACACAGTTATATAGTCACACAGTCACACAGTCACACAGTCACACAGTCACACAGTTATATAGTCACACAGTCACACAGTCACACAGTCAAACAGTCACACAGTCACACAGTCACACATTCACACAGTTACACAGTCAAACAGTCACACAGTCAAACAGTTATACAGTCACACAGTTACACAGTCACACATTCACACATTCACACAGTCACACAGTCACACAGTCACACAGTTATATAGTCACACAGTCACACAGTCAAACAGTCACACAGTCACACAGTCACACATTCACACAGTTACACAGTCAAACAGTCACACAGTCAAACAGTTATACAGTCACACAGTTACACAGTCACACAATCACACAATCACACAGTCACACAATCATACAGTTACACAGTCAAACAGTCACACAGTCAAACAGTTATACAGTCACACAGTTACACAGTCACACAATCACACAATCACACAGTCACACAATCATACAGTTACATAGTCAAACAGTCACACAGTCAAACAGTTATACAGTTACACAGTCACACAATCACACAATCACACAGTCACACAATCACACAGTCACACAGTCACACAGTCACACAGTTACACAGTCACACAGTCACACAGTCACACAGTCACACATTCACACAGTCACACAATCACACAGTCACACAGTCAAACAGTCACACAGTCACACAGTCACACAGTCACACATTCACACAGTCACACAATCACACAGTCACACAGTCACACAGTCACACAGTCACACAGTCACACATTCACACAGTCACACAATCACACAGTCACACAGTCACACAGTCACACAGTCACACAGTCACACAGTCACACATTCACACAGTCACACAATCACACAGTCACACAGTCACACAGTCACACAGTCACACATTCACACAGTCACACAATCACACAGTCACACAGTCACACAGTCACACATTCACACAGTCACACAATCACACAGTCACACAGTCACACAGTCACACAGTCACACAGTCACACATTCACACAGTTACACAGTCACACAGTCACACAGTCACACAGTCACACAGTCACACAGTCACACAGTCACACTATCACAGTCATACCAGACTTTTAGACAGAGGGCACAGATGTCATGCCCTCTGTATACAGTAGATCCTGGAAAAGTGAGGATAATAATAGGGAATTTTACAAAAAATGTTTGTATAACTTATGAGAGCTTTGTCAAGTCTGAAAAAAAAACGAAACAAACATGACATAATCAGGGTAGCGTCATATTTAGACTAGACTAGCTTTAAAAAAGTATAAATTCACTCAGCATGGAGAAAAAGATGACGCCACTTAGGACCCCTTAATTGACCCTGGGAGGAGTTTTCATTAGAACATTTGTCACACATTTCACACCTTCTTTCTGGCAATGGCATTTTTTTTAGGTGTAATTCTTTT